TTGCTCTTCCCTTTGCCCTCCTTCCATGTTAAGAGCTCTTGTGCTCCCTGTTCCTCTCCTGGTCCTTTCGGCATTTCTGCTTCTCCCCCCAGTGCCAAGGGCTGTGTTGGCTTCAACAGCTGCTTTCCTCTCTTTTCGCCTCCTCGCCTTATTGCTTTACTTTGTGGTTGGAGGGCAAGTTATGTAGCGCCAAAGGGAAGAAGTAGAGGTAAGACAGGCCTGAAGCTGATCTAGAAAGTGTTACGGGGTCCCTTGAAACTGAATCACAGAGTAGTTGAGGTTGGAAGGGACCCCCTGGAGATCGTCCAGTCCAAGGCCCCTGCTCAAAGCAGGGCCAGCTGCAGCAGGTTGCCCAGGATCGCGTCCAGTCAGGTTCTGAATATCTCCAGCGAAGGAGACTCCACTGCCTCTCTGGGCAACCTGTGCCAGTGCCCAGTCACCCTCACAGTAAAGGAGTTTTTCTTCATGTTCAGGTGGAACTTGTGTTTCAGTTTGCACCCGTTTCCTCTTGTTCTGTCACTGGGCACCCCTGAGAAGAGTCTAGCCCCATCCTCTTGACACCCTCTCTTCAGATATTTATACACATTTATGAGATCTGCATCGCAATGACAACAGCCAGATCCTTCCTGGTTTAGAAATCTCCTGGGGATATTGCCTTCACTCCATGGCTGAGAAAACTTAAACTGTTTAAAAGAAACCCATTTTTTTCCTTGATTCTCCTCATTTTAAAATTGAATGAAAACAGAATTTTCCTTTAAATTAATCATACAGTCATGCATGCCATGAGTGGACAAACACTACAAAAACTAAGGCTAATGCTGTGTATCTCAGATGATATATTTTGACCATAATCTAATATTGACCTGTTGAAAGGCGTGAAGAAGTCTAATAAAATGCTAGTTAGCGGTATGCGTATTATTAGATGCAAAAGTGAATAAACTATATTAGAATATGTCATTGCAGTGTAGCATGTGGCATATAAGCAAACAATTTGAAAAGCTTTGTACTGCATGTGCCACATTTCTGCAAGACAAAATCAATGCTCTGTCTTTTCCAAAGCCAATTAATGCTGAAGAGAGTTTCAGGGACTATCTTAGTCAGAGCAGTAAAGTATAGTGACATTCTTCACTGCTGCAGAAAATCAGTACAATTTCATTACCCTGTCTGCCTGTAGGGCAGCTTGATGCAGTTACATTAAAGTCTCCATCTCTTACCTGTTTCTTAAAAGGCTTGTTGTTTATGTCTTCAGGGCTTTAGTCTAATTTTGGCAACAAAGAACCCTCTAGCTTTTTAAAACTATACGTTTTAGAAGTGTCTTACTGTACTTTCATCTCCTGTTTAAAAAACAAACAAACCCTGAAATAAAGATGGGATTTGGTTTAACAGCTTATGCAAAGTGATATAATTGCAATAACATCTTTGCTTATCAATTTGTTTTTGACATTGGTTTGTTGCAATTTTTGATCAAAACCTTGTTTTGTTCTGGTGTTTGTTTTACTGATTCACTAAGGCCATTGTGTGATGAACATTTCAAAAAGATCAAGATGAAAAGCACAATAATGAAAACACACTGTCAGCCCTGAGCTGCAGTAATGTAACTGCGGTTGAAGGCAAAAATGAGAAACAATGGGGAAGGCAGGAGGAAGGACAGGACTGCCAAAATTGTCCCTACGGCTAGGAGCAATAGTCTCAAACTATCCTCTAAACCATTAGAATTGTAGTAATTCAGACCACACAAAACTAGTGATTATTCTTCACAGGCAGTGGAGATGTTCTAAAAGAAAAATACTTTTTTCCTATCTCAACCTTATAATTTTGTAATCCGTTTTTACAAGATCTTCAATATCTGTCTTTGCTCTTAGAGCATGTCAGCTAGATCTCCATTTATTTTTCACTATTTTATAACTTTTATCTCTTTGTGCCAGATGTAGTGCTCACATCAATGTCAACTTGAAAATGGTGAGAACTAACATGCTCCATAGAAAGAGTTTTCATAGGGCTCAGCAGCGCGAAATTCCACAGGCTGCTCTGCACTATAATTCAGCTAACCTTTGGGAAAAACAGAGGATGTGTTTATGTGTATCTTCCATTTTTTTTTAGAATATTTGAGCGTGTGGATCAGTAGCATGAGCTGTCACGAGACCAGAGAGAGAAATCACGACTTTGTCGAAAATTCATTTGGATGGCAGTGTTGTCTTTCTTCTTCTCTGCTTTGTCTCTTTCACGCTCCCAATATGTTCCAGGAACTCGTGAACGTTATTCTGCTTCGGGCTATGCTGCTTGTAAAGTCACATACGCTTAACTCAAAGATTTCATACTGTTTCTTATATAACATGATCTACTTTGCCCTTGCATAGGAGCTGGGATGGAGGCTGATGCTACAATAGCCATGAGCATTTTGATTATGGGAATCCTGTAGTTATATCTAAAAAAGAGATGCTTTCAGTTCCACACCTCTGATATGTGACACAGGTCTTGCATAAGCAGAGCAGGCAGAAATAAGCTAAAATGCTGAGAAATAATGAAATGCATGACCTAGAAAAAAAGAAAAGCAGTGAAATAAAAAAAAAACCTAAAAAAATCTGTGCATTGAATTTAAAGAAACATGGAATTGCAAGATTTTTAAGATAGCTAAGTCCCGAGAAAGGGTTTAATTTCTAGTTTAGGTCTGAAATGTCAGTCTTGCCATCTTTTTTACATTTCGAGGTTTAGTCATTCACTATTACGTGGATTATCCCAAAGCCTATATTCAGGAGAGTAATCTTTGCTTTTTCACATGAGTATTGACTTCAAGACAATCCATTATGAAGTCAGTGACTTTGTCGTGGATTTGAAGAAGTTAAAAAATAAAAAGGGGTCTTTAACTGAGAAAAAAGGTCATAGGAGAAGGAATTGTCTTCTCAGATGGCTTTATAACAAATGAAGTGTGATATACATTATGGACATGCATTGTTCACTATGGTGTTACTGAAGGCTTCATTCACTACTTAATTTCTCAGAAGCAATTGCAAGTGAAAAATATTCTTCACCCTTTGTATGTCAGCTCAGTACACGTTTAAAATACATTGCTTTCTACCAAAGTAAAAGACCCATGTTGTCTTAGCAGACTAGAATAACTAGAACAATTAGCATACTAGTGGTACTTCTGTTAGTTCAACTTACAGAATCTGGATGGAAAGCAGAAATCTAAACAGTGAAATCTTCCACAGTTATGTTGGCTTAGATCTAAATTTTAAAATATTTTAATACTTATCCTAATTTTTTAATAAGTGATTAGAAGGCCCTTGGAGGAATTTCTATAGTATTTAGACTGAAGTTCTCTTTCTTTTTTGTGAAATAATTACAATTTTTTCCCTCTCTTTATAACTTTTCACGTTTTTAATTCAATTTCAAGTATCTCCAGAAGCTTTATTGCCATTTAAATACGACAGCAGCAATCATGCTAATAAGTCTCCAGTACTAGATTCAGCCCACCTAATTGGTCTTAAATCTGGAACCTAAAGAGAATCTTTTTTCTAGCAGAATTAGAATATATTGGCAGACCTACCTAAACATGCAAAAATTCCATGAGGAATATAAAACTTGCACAAAGATGAGCTGTAGACACGCTGGTTTGTTGTTCCAGCTGACACAAATTAAGAAGGTGTTACATGATGTAGGGAATATTTTCCTTCTTAGAGCTTGCAACATATTTAATCCTTATTCTGTAGAGAAATCATGCCCATATGTTGGTGAATGAATCCCTGATAAATTTTTAACGTGCAAGAAAGCTCAAGTTCCAACATACAAATATATATTTTGGCACAGGAAACCTAAGAGATGGATTTGGTTAAGGCATTGAGCAATTACAGCTGGCTTTCTTCTTCAGTTTGTCAGAAATCAAAACGTATTTCCCCTCTGGGCAACGTTAATGCCCTAGACATTACATGGAGAACAAAATCTTTTTTCTTTTAATCTATCAATCAGACTTGTGATATGAACTGATTTTGAGTATTAACATGCTCAGCAATATCTGAAGACCAGAGCAATAGAGCTAATAAGGGCAATTCTAAGCGTGCTTGCTATTGGATACCGTGATTTGTCCAAGGGCCTTAGAGGCACAAGCCAGGTGGCATTCTGCAACCTGAAGTACGGTTGTATAAGTGCAACACATCACACACTCATATTGGCAGGTATGTTGCTCTAATCCAAACAGCCTACCATGATGCCATACAAATGCAGAAAGCAGTCCAGAAAACAATTCTCTGCCCTCCTACCTGTTGACTCTGCTGACTTCAGAGAACGTAGTCATAATTTCCTCCTGTGGAAAGGTCTTGCAGCAGAGATGGCAAAGTATTTTAGCACAAAGTTTACATCTTTATTGTGACATGTGGACCAAGCTGAAAACCCTGGTAGAACAAGCAGCCACCCTCAGCCTGCATGGAGGGCTTCACAAACCTGTGGTGTAAGACAACATGCTTGGCACACCACTTATTCATTAGCTTTAATTAAAGCTTCAAATTAAGAGAGGTTGGAATAATGGGTAGGACACTTTCAGAAAATCAGTATTCCTTTTACCCCATTTATGCCCACCATCTAGATGCAATAATTATGTCTCCAACTTTTTTTTTGTTATTGGTATCTGATAGATAACTCTATGTTGAAATACTTTCATTTATACTTGGAATATTTTCCTTGTGACTATAAGATCTAAAAAAATAAATGCTGCAGCTTTTAAAAATCAAAATAGGCATCTTTCTGAAATTAAATCCAGTGTAGAGGGCTGGATAAATGCTTAAAAAATATTATGTCTGTCCTGCCTACCTAATGTTTGGCATCACTTCTTTGCAGGGCTGAATAAATAAATAAATAAATAAATATATATATATATATATGTATATGTATATCATGAACAAATTAGAAAATAAAAATTCTAGTTCTACTTAAGATTTTCTTTCTGTATCAGAGATAGCAATTTCAGTGATTCCAGAACCCGTAACCTCAATTCTAAAGGTGTTTTTGGATGATTTTATTGGCTTTTCATTGAAGTCTATTTTCACCTTTCCTATAGGATTTTTCCTGCAGAGAAAAATAATTCTAGAGGAAAGGGAATGAAGCCCATAGTCTCAGAGTCAATCTTTGTGTCTCAGTCAACAGAAGAAACGCTTCCAGATGGGAAATATAGCTTGTTGTTTGCATAAAACAAACCTGTAAAGAGAAAAGGAAGAGTTGCATGTACCATTATACACTCACATTATGCTTATGCAAGCTGCAATTCATCTATGTCATCCTCCACGCTCCCCAAAAGAGGTGCCTAAATGTGGCTACAATTCATCTCCTTCAAGGAGAGATATCTTCTTCCCCTGTTTTCACCACAGGAGGCTTTAAAGTCTTCTAGGCTTACTGACGGAGTGATTCAGCGTGCTGGCTTCCTACAAGGCATGCGGAAGTCACCCGATTCAAAGCAAACTCATCACATCCCTTTTATGCCTCTGTAAATGATATTTGCAATGCTCTGCAAATAAAACTTGCTTATCAGGAAAGAATAATGACTTACAAGACACCCCTGTAACAAGAAGAGTGACAGGACTGTAAGGTGACAATATTCTGCTCCAGAGAAGAGTCCACAGAGGACAGGACACACCGCTTTCCCCCCAGCACCATACCCAGAGGTTATCAAATCCAAGTCATCAATATGGCACCTGCTTCTGCATCCGTCAGAGCACACAGAATCACATCTTGCTTGGTGTATTTTAGATGAGTCACAGCCCAAAACTAGGACAACTAAAATGTTATATGTTGCACTTAATCAGATGAATTTCAGATACTTTTCCTCTAGATCCAACTTCTGCTCAGGGTGAAGTAGCCTTCCTCTATTATATCAAGCAAACAGCTTTAATGTTGGCTGTTTTAATAAACTTAAATTTGACACGTTCACTTTCTTTCAGGTCTTCTTCATAAGGCACTAAACAAAACCTGCACTGAGAGTTTTTAAGGTTTTCAGTTGGAAGCGCCTTTGCACTTTGAGGTATCATGATGTCAAGTTTTGAAAAAATGAGAGACAAAGCTTTGTTTATGGCTCTTAACCGTACTCTGATGATACCTCTTGCACACAATGTACGTTTCTTTACTTTGGTGCCGTTGGGGGTCTGACTGGAAGAGCCAGGGTGCAGTTGCACATCAGTTTCATCAGATGCTAATTTCAGTACTTTGTTGACTGAAAACACAATTAACTCTACAACCGTTTTGTACTTCCAATATGTTAGTGAGCCATAAAGCTGCTGAGCCTCATTCACTGCAGCTGAAACAGAAAACCTCTCAAATCTATGCAAGGAAAATTAACAAGTAGACGGAAAGCAAAGCTACAAAGCAGTCGGAATGAAAATGTTAAAATCACTCTTAAAATAAGTATTCATTGTATTTGCTTGTTTAGGCTTATAACAATATATATCCCAATCTGACAAGGTCTGATTTTTGGCTGTGCGAGCAAGACTTACCCATTTTTTTATTTCTCACATCTCTTCCTGTCTCCCATGGCCCCGTCCATCTCCTGTTCTCCAGAAACTCCCGTCTCTGTGTATTGGCCTTCTTTTGCTGTCACTACAGAATTCAAAATCCTCTCAAATAGGACAGAAACACAACCAAAATAAAAGGGAGAGCACTTCAGGAAAAAGAGGGCTTTTATAAGGATATGAAGCTATTTCAAGGGGAAGAAGGCAAGAAGACCGGTCCAAGTCAGGAAGAAAGAGCAATACAATTTTTGTCCTTTTTTTGGATATTTTAAATGAGCCTTAAAGTGTTGAACAAACTTATTTTATTTTGTCTTTTTGCTCCATCTTTCAAATATTAGGAATATTATTATAAAATTCAGCATAGTAACATGGTAGAGCTTGTTATTCTGAAACAGGATGTGTTAGCTCATTTTGCTAAGTGCCAATTTGATCTGGATGCTTCCTTTTGGGGTATAATTAAAGACTACTGTTTTTCTTGCATTCTGAAGCAAGAGAAGAAGGAGCAATAAAAAAAGAAGCAAATCTAGAACACTGAGCTAGTAGATAGCTTTAGAAAGTGCCTGGTATAAATCTGAAACGCTTCAGGAAAACAACAGAAGCAAGCATTGATTCCTGTCTGGAACGGCAGATCACATTTTGTCTGTAATTGCACTGAGGCCAAGACAGCTCTCATGAATTGCTCCTGTTGCATTTTATTGATTAACCTTAAAAAGGTCATCAAAATGCTAGAAGACAAGATGTTATAGTGAATAATGGGTTATCCTGAAATTGTAATAATCAAAATCAATGAAACCTATATAATCATAAGCACTGAATCATATTATTGCTATGCAGCAACATATTGCAGATAAACCCAGTTCCCACACAGAAAAAAGTTGTGGTAACTTGATTATTTTTTAAATAAATTTTTCACCCAACTCTAGGCACATCTAGAAGAGACATGGTGAAATTCTGTTTTTCTGCAACTACCTGACTTGTCTAACTCTGTTCTGTCACTTTGTATCCCACGCTTATCAGGAAATGACAGATTTTTTTCACAGGCATACACAGGCCAAGAAAAACAACAACCACTAAGAGAGGGGAAGAGGGAAGATTTACAAGATCACTCTGAAAGTATAATTTAAAAGATTCTCTTCCTCCTGTGGAACAAATTTGTTCAGGGACAATATACACCAGGGTGCAATGTCAAGAACATAACAATTACTCACATGGAAGGGTCTGCTATATCTGTGAGCAGAATGATCATTGAATACTCTGCATCTTCTATGTAGAATATTGACATATAACATTCATCAAGGCCAACCACTCTCTGTCCTTTTCCTCCTATTCCACATTCACACATAAGGTTATCCAAGGCTGGATAAAATATGGTGGAGTACTTAGCATTTTAAATAAGAAATGGTATGAAAAAACACCGCTGATTTTGCTAGCAAAAGGGCAGGGCCAAAAACTAGTTAGTCCAGAGATTTTTAAAGGAAAAGCACATATTTTAATGCTACTCGTACAAATATATATTGTACTGTTCAGTTCTACCTGATTTCCATGATGGAGGGACACAGTTAATATTCACAGCTGGTAATGAAAGATATTGAATCCCCCCTTTCCCTTTCTTCATTTTTCCAATAAAAATTTGCAATAGAAGAGCATTAAAACATTATGAATTATTAGGGCAACTTAGAGTAAGCAGAAGTAGGCCTTATCTTAATAAGTTAAGACTACCTATTTTATTATGAAAGGCTGCGAGAGACGTCATTGTCACCTTCACCAAGACAACATTCACTGCAGAATTTGGAGGAAAGAATGAAAGATCCTTGACAGCTTTTCCTTCCCACCTTTATACCCTCACTCCCATTTACACCCTCTGGATTGTACAATTCCTAAGCATTTTTTTTGGCACATAGTTTGAATGAGTGCTGTCAACTACACCCGTTTTTCTTCTCTTTTCCCATAGTAGAAATAGAAAAATTTATCTTTGACTCCTCCATGTCTGGCAACCTAATGCAGCCTGATGTCAATGTATCCTGAAGTTTTCTACCAGATTTTGTTGGACAAAACACTGAGAATCCACAACCAGAGAAGAAAGTAAATATCTGCCTGGAACCTTTCTGTGATGGCAGATGTATCATTACGGTTGAAATATATATAAAAAAAAAAAAACATGTCACATGGTCAGAGTCAGTCTTCATTTATACCTCCTTTAATGTTTTGTAGATAAAAAGGAGCTCCCATGCACTTTTGGCCTGGTAATGATTTCCTAGTCACTGTCTCTAAAGATGTTAAGTTTCACAAAAACAGGAGTTCTGTTTTCTACTAGCTTACTACGTGTCTAGTTCTTAAGGAGAATTACAATCCCTCAGCGAATAATCCTAATCCTAATCCTTAGTAAATAGAGCTTTATATTCTGTAAGGGCTTTTTAATAAAAGGATTTCGACAGTGATCAATTTTTTTCAAAAACTGTGATCTCTCCAGGTGTCCTGAATCACTTACGTTTATTAATGTTATACAGAAACATATCACAAACAAAGCTTGCTCCTTATTAAATAATAATACACAGAATAAATTCACAGGAACTATCATAGAAACCCTTGATCATTTTTAAATACATATCTGCCAGTGCTCAGCATCTAGAGAAGATATGCAGAACAGTTTGAGCTAGAAATGCAAAAAATCTGAGATGATGGAAATCTCAGCAGCTCTGGAAGAGCAGCATATGCTGTATTACACTTGAGTCAACATGCTGGCATTTCTGATACAATAAATGAATGAGTCCTAGCATGTATCAGTAAAGGTCTATGCAGCTTGAGAGCATGCAAGCATTTGTGTAACCTGATTTTAATCAAGAACTAGAAGTAGTAAAAATAAAGCAGCATGGTAAAGATGATTTTTCAGCAGTATTAAGTATGGGTTTGCATGTAATAGCATATACACCACAACTAATTGATTCCTGACCAGAATTACTCGTTGATGATGCAAGCAATATGTGCTGATATGAAGTAGTATCTAGGGATGTGGGATGTTTATTTAGATGTATCCGTAGCATTTTACAGGTAATCTATCTGAATTTCTTCTTGAGATTTCAAAATTATTTTGTTCAGGTTTGTTGAGCTTCCTCCCTGCAAAACAAGCTGCCAGAGGCACTGGTTTCAGGTTTCTGACGAAATTATGGAAGCCTTCCAAAACAAACTAAAGTATTTGTTTGTTTGTTTGTTTTTTAAAGTATCAAAATAGCCACAGGTTTAGGTTCCATTACTATTAAGACTGAACATCATAGGAAGATACATTCTCGTCCCTCCCTTGTTTGCAAGCTCCTATTTGGAGTCTCCTACAGGAAACTCTGTACAATAAATTAATGCCATTTTAATGTCACTGTTACACAAGTGAGTATCTCCTATTCTGGACTTGAGTAGATGTGATATTGGGAAACAGAGAACATATAGAATCTACACTCAAAGCAGGAGAAAGAAATGTTTGCTTTTTCAGTGGCAATAGGTAGAAGCTGCCCAGGGTCTGATTTGGCATACTGAAGTGGAACCCAAAGAGTTCAAAGCCAAAAAAAAAAAAAAAGAGAGAGAGAAAAGAAAGTGGAGCAGTCTTCCTTGTACAATGAACAATTTGCTCATCCTGCACTGCAATTTCCATGTACAAGTCACATCCACCAATGGGAAATGCCACTATGACTAGATATTTCCATCAGCACTAAATATTTTCTTTTGTGAAATATAGGTTAAGTCTTAGTGGCGTGACAGTCCTGGGTGAGAATGAACAGCACTTTCAACCAAGAGAGTTCAGTTAGTAGCAAACACTTTCCCTGGTAACATAACTTCACTTAAGTCAACGAAGCTATCCCAGCAAGAAAGTCAGTAGTGCGTGCAAGACTCTCACCTGACTTGATTTTCAAAAGTGCTGAACATCTAACAGCTTTTGCTGTGACTGCTAAATTAGGTGTCTGCATCTGGATTTAGGAGCATCACTACTTAGGAAAATTCTCTGCACTACTCCTAGTGTTCATGGACTCTGCTAAAACTTCTGGAAATGGAATTGTCCAAATATATTAACGATGGATGACCAAAGTTACTTATCTAGTACTTGATCTCACTCTACCATGAGATCTCTTTGATTAAAGTAGGTATCAGTGGAGTTCAGGAAAAATATGAGCATTTAGTGTCTCGGAAAAATAGGATCACTTTTTTCTTTTTTTAATGTCTAGATTTTGCCATTAAAGCTTTAGCTTTAATCTTAGTTTTACCTTTTGTGCAACATACTTCTCATATCAGTGAAATAAACATGATCCTTTATTGCTCTATCTCACAGAACTATTATGTAGCCAAACTGATGAATCCTCATAAAAAATTTTGAAATTCTCTGGAAAATTTTACTTAATAACAAATAATTATTCATATAATAAAGCCCATGTGGCATGGTCTGGACCCATGGGTCAAATGGGCAACGCCCAAAAAACTTATGTATGATTAAATGAAATAAAGAAAGAGGAAAAGTGAGTACGCAAAAAGGCATTTAAAAATGCACTCCTATGAACACCCTTGACCAGGTATGATTTACTGGCTATCTCTTCTAAACTTGTCCTTATAAATTGCCTTATGTTTTTGAACACTGTAAGGTGGTCTTTGATATGAAGGATATGTGGGACAAAGGGTATGTTGGCAGCAGCAACATACTAGCTCATATATTAGTAGTCAAGGCGGAGTGTTAATTAAAAGATGCTTATTGCACATGTATCTTAAAGTTGTCTGTGTAACAACCCCTCGCCTCCTACCTCCTCCATCTCTGAAGGAGTGCCTAACTTAAACTGTGTCAGGAACAGCAGTAACTCTTATATAATGGAACCCTCTTGACACACAACAAATAAACTCTCTTGGAATAAGTTAGACCTTATTTTTTGTCAGTGAGAAATATTTTCTGAACCCATCTTCAAGATTAACATTGCAGTTCCTGCAGTAACATTAAATATTAAGAACCTCAGTAGCTGCTTGCTTGAAATGTTATTTTTGTTAAAAGAGTATTGGTAAACATGCAAAAGCACATATGTTTTCTTGCTTACAGGACCCACGGCTCTAAAAGAACATCAG